TACTGTTTAGTGTCATATAGACCGTTCGGCCACACGAGGACGACCGAATACGGCACTAAACGACTGCGGAAACGATAACGGGTCCCAAGGTGGATAGAACGGCATACGCAATGCTCTGGGGGGTCCAACGGCTCTGTGTGTACGCCCTATACGATCATTTTCTGATCATGATGAGGCAATAGCCCCGCCTCTCCCCACCTCTGCTGCTCACTGAATTCAGATTATTTATTTCTCTCGATATGGACATAAACTCGAGTGAAGTCTAATCTGACAGGAAAGAGACACCTCTCAAACTACCTAAACTAGTTATAAATATGTTTATTTTTACTGTCGGCCGGGTCACTCATTACTGGACCAGCAGCTGCATGAAACAGACACTGGCGCTGTCCAAAGAGAGGGTGGAAAAAGAGAGGCTCCGTGTATTATATTATATAGAGTCGTTATTCATTTGTTTTAAAGCTCAATAAATAACAAAGAAGACCTTTGACCAGCACTTTTATAATTTTGTCGGAAGATTTAAACTTTAATACACGTTGACTGGCGAAAAACTCTGCCCGGTTCCCTCGGCCCCCACCGCGGAGAATAAACAGAAGGGCAACCATGACAACCATGCTTCTTCGCTGCTTTTGTGGAGGAAGTTACAGCGCCACGTACAGGCTCCTGCATATGTACTGCAGCTTCTCCAGCGGTTGGAGCTAAACGGAGCTGTCTCGTGTGGACAGACACTATCCGGATGACTATTGCGTGTGGACGGAAGCTTTTTTCCGATTGCGTTAATCCTATGCGTTTAGCCGTTTTCGTCCTCGTGTGGCCGGGCAGTGTTGAGTGTGGATATATGTGTTTAGCGTAGGGTGCTTAGTTTCTCTCCTTCAGCTGTGTTTTTTACAGCTTCCTTTATTTAGTTGTACCACTTTTAAAGTGAGGTTTTGTTTCGTTCCCTATATTAGTATTTATTTCTTCTGTATGCCATTAGACTCCTTTTTTAGAGTCCTCCTTTTGTTAGGTTATTTGTCAACCTGTGCCCTTTTGGCCTTTTTGTTTGTTCAGGCTGCACGCCTTCCATTTTGTTATACCCTGTAATAAAACTACTTATAATTATTACCAATTACATACTGGTGTGTGTTGCTTTCCTCATCCCTAGTGAGTTTGTAACAATATCAAATGGCAAAAAAAAAACAATCAAGGAAGCCAGAACAAAACTAGCACACAGCAACATTTTTGTAAGTTTTTCACAGTACATTTGCAAGCATGTTGTTTGTTGCACATATGCAGGGGCGGACTGGGAGGAAAAAGTGGCCCGGGGATTAATTGACAGACAGCCCCACTTAATGCGGGGCATGTATCGGCCGGCCGGCGACGAAAGTATGTTACTTAATAAAAAACTTTTATGTTATTTTGGACCATTATTCATATAGTAATCACATTACCTGAGCCCTTGAGTTGCCTAGAGCAAAATAGTTACATTCATTCATTTTAATGTTAACAGATCATTGATGCTATAATATTTGGACCCAATTTGCCTGACTTGACGCATGGATGAGACAATGTGGGTGAGACAATTTAACAGGGGGTGTGGGCAGGTGGTGGACCTCACCTCCTTTAGGGCATGCTCCCCCGGGACGATTTTTTTTTAAAATGTTGAAGTTAAATGCATCAATCTGGTGCACTTTGAGAGCAAAATTAGGGACTAAATCTATGGATACATCTCTCAACACCCATATGAAACAGAACTATAAACAGATTTACTTTTTCTTTCAACATTTATTTGAACAGCAAGTGGAGGCAAAAGTGACTGCACCCAAAACAATAAACCTGCTAGCTAACTAGCCTAAATTCAGTAACAGAATGTGGGCAACGCGTTCTTCTCCACAGCCGCGCAACCTCTGAGTCAGACGTCACTTCCCCCTTTTCTATCCTACGGGTACAGCCACTCCCCCTGAACCCCGTTTCCCTGCCAACCCCCCCGCCCCCTCCCCTATGCAAGCCCCTCCCTCTGAACCCAGGGCTTGCTACAATACTGTATACTGTAAACACAAACTATACAAAAACGCCTTTACGTTTTGGAGCTTGTTTATCCTACTGTAAGCAACTGCCAGCTAGGTCTCTCAGTCACTCACTCCTGATCGTTCACTGCGCAGTGACAGCTGCTACGGGCCTGATCTGTGAAAGTGAAACTATCTGATAGATAGAACATAGGTAGCCTATCAAAACGCCTCTCAAACACCCCTCCAGGGTGTGGTCGGAACACTTACAAATGTGGGCCGGTAGGATTTAGGTAAGCAAAAAACCATTTTAGGTACATTTTCTTTTTGGCCCTCCGGCCCACGCACAGCACCGGCCCACCGGGAAAACTCCCGGTATTCCCAATGGCCAGTCCGCCCCTGCACATATGATAGAACAGTTCCAAGGTCTGCAAAGACCTAACTCCTCTGCATACTTTCGAATGCAAGGTCAAATCAGGATAGTAGAAAATTCCAAGAGGGTATGTTGTTTTCAGTTTGGTTTGTTTTTCTGTTTGTCAGCAGAATACTGAAAAAATACTGGCTAGTTTTCATGAAACCTGGGGGACATGTGTAGCATGGGCCAAGGAAGAAATCATATCATTTAGGAGCGGATCTGATTTTTCACTTATGGAAAAGAAGCAACTTACTCACTTTCTTTTTGTACAACTAGGAACAACATAAGCAGATGTTCTCACGCTATCTCTTTGGGCTTTGCTGATCTATTATTTATTCTATTCTAAACCACACCTGGACTGAAGCATTCTTTTGTGCACCAGTCATTCCTTCAATTAAATACAGAGTTAAATCCCTGATCAAATGTGATCTTCAGTGATCGTGATGTTATATTAAATGTCTGTTTCCTTGTTTCTTGTCCTTAATATTTGACCTTGCTGATGTTGTGAAAGGAGCTGCTGTGATGCGAGAAAATGTTACACTTGATCTGACAATACAGTTTTATCGTACCTGTGCTGAACAGTTGAGCAGTCCGGATGAGGTTCCTTCAGACTCTGGGTACGTCAGCTCGACCGCAAACTCAAAGCCCAGCGGCAGGTAGCCTGTCATGAAGAACCTGGACACACACACACACACACACACACACACACACACACACACACACACACACACACACACACACACACACACACACACACACACACACACAGAGAAGCATAGATACATACAGTTAACAAAGAGAATCACAAGTTGATTTGATTGTAGCTTAAATATGAATAATTCTGCCATTTATTTGACCTTAATTCCAATTATACAGCTTGGATAATGTATTTATGGGTAATGCAGAAACACACCTTCCACATGGTGTTTTTTCCTCTACTTCTTTATTAAGAAATGCAAACACCCTTGTTTTTTACTTAGACGTGGTGATGTTTTACAGGTTGTGACAGGTACTAGAACCATGTTGTTCTTCCCCTGAGATTGAAACTAGTATGAGATTGAAACTATTGAAACTAGTATGTTTAGAGAAAGGCTTAAAGTACATACAAGTCTGTAGTACATTTTCAATTCTTAGATGGGTTAAAATATTAGGGACAATGGTTGTACACACTAGGTAAAAGAAAAGTTAATTTAATCAATAGAATACCAGGAATTCAAGCAGGAATTTAAAGCTAGCTTGAGCTAATGTAATCTCCATTGACGAATTCAGCTCTCTTATTTGACCAGTCAGCCTGAGTCACATTAATCATGTCCACTGGCTGGTATGTACACTATGTGCGCACGTATGGTATGTATATGATGTACGTGTGCCTCCACAGAGAGGGCGAGCCCAAGCTGGAGGGTCAATCTGTGCTGCTGAAGAGGTGTGATGTTTTCACACCATACACAGAAAGGTCAAAACTGGATGTAAAAGTACTGCTGGCTACGATATCTGGTATTATTTACAAAAACAAGACATATATTGTGAAGATATAATTCATGGTGGCTCTAAAAGCTTTATTTTAAAACACTGTTACTGTGATATTTAAAATATGAGACCATCTTGAATACCACCTGAGTATTTGTACCTACTTTGCAACTTCTTTTTTTAGATTGTTTATGTTCGCACCACCAGATACCAAAGCAAATTCCTTGTATGTGTTGCAATAAACTTGATTCTGATTCTATTAGTAGCCTACTGTTTGAAATGTTTTGGTCCCATTTTTGTTAGTTTTGGATATTAACCATGTTCTAGGACTCCCTATAATGCAGTTTTAACTAGGGATGCACCGAATATTCGGCCACCGAAAATTATCGGCCGAAAATGGTTAAAAAGGCCCTTTCGGCTTTCGGCCGAAAGGGTTTTAGCACCGAAAAAATATCACCGAATGTCAGAACAGGCTTACGTTGGTAACCTAACGTGTTGTTGTGATGACGTAATAAAGACGCGGCGACCATGCTCGCGGCTGGCTCACAGGGGGGGGGGAACATTGACCTTTGTCATCGAGATTGCCCTGAGCCTTTAACAAATCGTATTAAATAATCTGATGACAGACTGTAAACAGAATAGCTGAAATTTTAACAAACTAAATAACTCAGTTACCTCTAATCATTAACCCATGTTTGTATCATGTAGTTAACTCCGTGTGTTGCTGCTAGCATACATAACACCTGACGTGGAAACGTTACTCTTGGATGGGGCTACAGAGCTGCTAGAAAGACGGTCGAACCCGGTACATTCCTCCGTCTGCATGCGGTGCACTTTTGCTAAATGTTTAGACAAATTGCTCGTGCTTACATGCTAAACTCTTATTGCACTTATGGTAACAAGTATTCTCCACATCGAGACGGGTAAAGTTTAACCACACCTCGGAGCGCGTTCTCTCCGCCATCTCCGCAGTGTGCTCCGCTGCATGTAGCAGCTGCGTGTGTGTAAACTGCCCCGCCCCCTCGCACACAGACGGGGGAGAGAGATCTCGTCTGATCGAAAATACATCATAGACGCATTTGTTGTCTTTGCATATTAGAAACGAGTTGGCGACACTAAGACTGCGATATCATGTTTTTTAGCAATAATACATGACATATATAAATGTACTGTATGCATTCAAAAGTGCTGAATAAATGTTTTATGGACCCATAATAGTGATTATTATTTAAGTTAAGTTTTGCCATAATCATGTCTATTTCCATAATCAGGTAGCTGAACAACATTGGTAAAAAATGTATACATTATATATATATATTTCTATTAATCATTTTCGGCCTTTCGGCATTCGGTTTTCGGCCAACTGTTTCCTATTTTCGGTATCGGTTTCGGCCAAGAATTTCCCATTCGGTGCACCCCTAGTTTTAACACAAATGGAATTATCATGATGCAGTAAAGTAATATAATCTAACTGTTCAGGATCATTCAGCTCAACTGTAGCCTGTATCAATACGTTTGCATTTTCCTAGAAACAGGATCACCTCTGCTCTACAGTATGTCCTGATTTAGAGTACAGTGTCTGTTAGAGGAACATTTGAACCTAGATCCTACTGTGGGTGGATTTGCAAATCATTATCAATCCAAAGTTGACTTCTGAATAAACACGGCTGTAAATTATTGTTGCAAATGTCAACAGAAAATAGTAGTTGCCACAAATTGTGCAAGAGGGTTGAACAAGTTCAGGTATTTTGATTTATATAATTATTTTTTCATATATGGGAGGCGTGTGGTGCAGTGGGTTGTGCGTTTGTGTTCGGATCAGGGGGTCACAGGTTCAAACCCCACTGCAGTCAGCATATCGTTGTGTCCCTGGGCAAGACACTTCACCCCAAATTGCTCCTGTGGGGATTGCCCACAGTATTGAGTATGTAAGTCGCTTTGGATAAAAGCGTCTAACAAGTGACATGTAATGCAGTGGTTCTCAAACTTTTTCTGTCAGACAAAAAAAAGTCGGGCCCCCCCAACACAAATAGTCAGGCTCAGTGGCGGCGCCAGAGATTTCTTTTGGGGGTGCTGTGGGGTAGCTTGACGTTTCATAGAGGGTGCTCAAACATTTAGGGTTTCCCATTAATGTACCGGTCGCAACAGAGGAATGTTTTACTGCAACACTCCCCATGCAAATACACAGTGTGACTGTTACAATGAAGGCTCGATAATCAGCTCACGGCATATAGGTGTAAGCAGGGGTCAAGTGATATTTTTATAGGTGGTGTGTGGACCTCACATAGGGGGGTCCGGGGGCAAGCTCGTCCGGGAAGATTTATTCTTAAATATTGAAGTTAAAAGCATCAATCTGGTGCACTTTGAGAGCAAAATGAAGAGATCTATGGATACCTCTCTCAACACCCATATTAAACAGAACTGTAAACAGATTTACCTTTTCTTTATGGATATTTTACAAATCACCCTTTTAAACTTTATTCTTGTTTTACTGTCATATAGTATTTCATAGCTGTTTTTAATTTATTCTCTTATTTTTTTATAACTATAATGATCATATAAATGTGTGCCTCGGAAATAATTGTTTACATTAATGGTGACCAAAACGTTTGAGACCCACTGAGATAACACTGAGAGAGTCCTTTAACTCACTGAGTCTCTCAGTCTGACAGGAGAGAACTCTCCTCCACGTTGTTGTTGAAAAAACTCCTTATATCCGTTAGCGTAGCTCGCTAGCACCAGAAGCTAACAACAACGATCTCCGGTACCGGTGCGCTCTCTCTCACGCACACAAAATGGCTCGTTCCACACACACACAGAGCCAAGCTTTAATGAAACACAGAGACCCAGACGTAATAGTACTGTACTGTATCATATTATTTTCGAATCAATAATTTATCAAATTATTATTATTATTTTTTTAAATCTTTTTTTTAATTTTTTATATATAACCATTTTTCCTCCTGGTCTCTCGCGCCCCCCCTGGCATGCCCCACTTTGAGAACCACTGATGTAATTTCAAGTTGTTTTAACCTTTGACTTAACCAATTAAGTGTTTAGCAAAAACTGTACTCAAAAACAAAAGAATACCCGAGCGCTCCAGCAGTGATGAAGACAACCCAGAGGTGTCCCAGACTGAGTGTGGCAGCAAAGACGATCATCCCCACCAGAGACATGAAGTACACAGCAAGGGTTGTCTGTCTGGAAAAACACAGAAACAAATAAACAACCTTGAACACTATAATCATCATTATAATTATACATTTTAGTAGTGCTGCTGCATTATTTATGTGTTTGTGTGAACTCGTTAAAGTGGGTGTAGTAGTAGCTTCTGTTGTAGCTTCTCAAGGGATGAAAACAATTATTCAGATTTTAAAAAGCAGTGTAATGTAACATCAAAGTTAAGAGTTTTTGACCGCTAGTAGAGCTTTGGAGCAGTTTTGAATGGGTTGTTTTGTTTGTTTTTGGTGCATGTGCCCCAGGATCCATAGGGAATCTTAAAAATGCATGCGATTATTACTACTTAATGTTGAACTATGACACATGCATAGAAAGAAATACGAATAAATGTGCAACTGTCACCAAAATATAAGTAGATAAACCTTCAAAGACGTATTGGTCACAGTGAGGAAAAGATTAACAAAACTGCAGTCAAATGTAATCAAATATATAAAAATATAATGGTTAATTAAAGAAACAACAACATACATTTATAAAAAAAAACTGCCCTTGATAGAAAAGACTATCTTATTAATATCAAATATTTAACAACTCAATAAGAGGTGCGTTTTAGGATCCCAAAATATATATTATATTAGTAAAATGTGCAAATTAACAGATACACTGCAACAAAGAATGGGCAACTAAATTATAATCAAAATATGTATGAGAGATAAGGCATGGGAAGACAGTTGGGACTGAAAGAGAGCCTGCGTGTGTGACGCAAACACACTAACATTTCCCCCATATGCAAAACAAATCTCTCAAACAGCGGGGGGGCCGACTGTAACCCCCCACAGGGAGGACACTGCTGTCACTACACAGCCAAAAAGCCCATGGGGTCATTAATATGACTGTGAGAGCAGCATGCAGCACCTGGATAAATAGACACAGAGCAACACATAAACAAGAACAACAGCGATATGAGAAGCGGAATGACAATAAACAGAACAGAAAAAAGGCTGGCTAATGTTCTATTTCATTCCTAGCACTTGGAACAAACTGTCATTTAACTTTCTTTTTTTTCGCCTTACTTGTAGGTTTTGGTTTTGTCCAACCAAATGCCACAAATCAGGGAGCCAACCATCCCTGCAATGACAATGGTGAGGCCAATTCTCCCAGCATTCACCTCTTCTCCCTACAAGGTCAAGCAAGATAGGACATAGATTAGTGACCTTACATCCCAAAGGAAAAGTGAGGCAGACATCATTACAAGGGAGTTAAGGGGACTTGGAGTTTCTTTCTACATTCATCTGGTGTCGCTTCAATCCTTCATCTACATCTCTTACTGACTGAATAAAACAGGTCAGCAGGCAACATCCTTCCAGTCTATGAATATCTTATAACAGCAGCCTGTTGATATACTTTAAATAGAGAAAAGCCTACTTCCTCTTTATGAAAGTGAAATGTAATTAAGGACATTACAACAACCTCTACAGGAAATTATATATTCAAACTTAAGAGTAACACTTTTGCAATCATGCTGTGCTGCTTTATTTCTGGGAATTAAATGTTACAGTTGATGCCAATGTGTGAAGAGTACTTTCAATACAAAATGATTCAGCTTTTCATATCCTGACATATCACACTATGGGAAGTGTAAAAATAGTTTGGGGGAAGACCAGACACAGCAGGCGGGACTTACAGGGTAATGCTCGATGATAATGCGGTTCAGCAGGGTGCCGACAGCATAGAAACATCCCACATTCAAACCTGTTTTAGAGAAATAATGTCAAAAAATGAAACAAAAACATTTTTTATGAAACCTAAAAAGGTGAACATTGAGCTAACTTCCTTAAGCAACTATAAAGGAATTGAATGTGACCAGTCGAAGGGTTGGCAGTTGTGTCCAATGAACCTGATCAGGCTGGTTTCCAAAACAGAGAGCCAAACCAAGGATTTCTATAAATGGACAAGTCTGCGTGTCGAGTGTTTTTTCATGAACAAAAGTTTTAGTAGTGGTTCTGACATGCTCAGGAAGAACATAAACCCAAACAAAACCACTTCAGTAATTAACAATTTTGGATGCAAATTGTTGAGGGAATGATTATAAACTCTAATAACATTTAAAAAAGGAAACAGTCATTATATCTATTTCTATACTATTTGCAAATAGATCTGTGTAAATAAGCCTTTCATGTAAATATAACTATGTATTTAGGATCACAGCTCAGTGTAACAGACAGGGACAGGTGGCCCGCAGAACAGAGTGTGACAATCTCAGGTAAATCTGAGACCATGTGACTAAAGTTCATATGCAAAGAGTCAAAAGGACAACAGAGACACTAATAATAGTCGCATGAACTGTGGAAATAACACGGTGAGGGTCAAGGGTTCCCATAAAATGCGAGTCTCCCGCTTCAAGTATCTTGGAGTCATATTGGACTCGAACTTGACTTTTAAGAAACATAACAAGAAAGTAGCCAATACCATTAAATTCAACTTGCTACATTTTAAACAAATTAGACCCTTCTTAACTGTCAATGATGCAAAGTCATACCTCCATATGATTCTATCCCACATTGAATACTGTTTTACAAACGGGTCGTTTGCTTGTGCCATAAACCTTAAACCCATAGAACAACTATACAAGAGAGCTACAGTATCAAGGTGTTTGACAGAAAGCCAAATTCATACCACCACTGTACCATTCTTGAAAAACACAATTTCTTGAGTTTTGACAATTTTAACTCTTTTAAAAGTAAGTGATTTTTTTAATAAATGTTTACATGGACTGGCGGGGGGCCCCACCCTTAGGGGAATTCATCCACAAAAAACACACTGGACGCTGCACTCGGTCAAAAACCAGAGGAGACTGTGAAGTCCACCGTAGACGGACAACTTTTGGACAAAATGTCCTCTCCATCAAAGGCAGCTCATTGTGGAATAGCTGAAATCCGGCTCATTTACACTTGTAAGCATTATTTGGTTTTAAAGTGTTCATCAGTGTGCACTGTCCCGGTTAAAAAAAAAAAAGGACAACAGAGACACTAATAATAGTCGCATGAACTGTGGAAATAACATGGTGAGGTCAAAGGTTCCCATAGATTGCTCACAGCTGTTGGACGTTCTTGCTGTGACTAGACGAGATTTACTTATTTGACGGACAGGAAATATTTTTAGTTTTATCTTAGGTTAAACATTGTCAGACTTAAACCAAACTTTGAACTTCTATAGGGCACAATAAATATCATGTCTGTGATTATCTGAGGAGGATGTGTTCATTTTTATGACACACGAAAAGATAAACCTGGTTTAAAAGTATATAATATCAGGGCTTGTTTTACAATCAGGGAGTGGTTTCCGACCAATTATAAGCAGATTTAGGAACCCACGTGGGGCAGGGTAGGTATGGTGATGTGTCCGGGGAATACCTGAATCTGGTAGCAGATTTCAGTTGGATTGGTCAATTGAACTGGACATGTTTATAAAAGTAACTTATTAGCAGCTGAAGATACAGATATTTCCAATTGAAGATGGTGGAGACCAAAACAGATCTAAAAGGGAGTAGAAATTGGACTGACAGTCATCAGATGAACTTTACTCCAATGACATGATTATGTTTATCTTTAATTGCTGGGTATGTAATGTGTTTGCTAACAACTTTGCTATATTGATTCAAAAGGTTATTATATGTCGAGGTACTGTTGTTAAATGATTACAGTGAGAGATTGTACTGACAAAATCAAGGACTCATTTTTCAGTTAAACAAATACAAAGAAAAACCAAAGCCCTGCCTGTGGTTGTTTTTCTTGTTTTACACTGACCATAAGTGATGATGAGGAGGATGAAGGGCCGGTTGCGGAGCAGCCTGAGGACCGAGGCTGTGTACGAGTACTGCTCAGGGGGAATGCTGCGAGCTGTGGCCTGGGCCTGAGTCGGAGGAAGTGTAGGTCGCTCCTGGAAGACTGACACATGGAGAGACCAACATATCAATCAATATTAATCACAGTGAACACAGAGAAGAGCAGCTGACTCTCAGACACACAGATTACAATGCAGGTCACAGGTGAACTGGGAGAGTCAGTCAAGAACACATACTGTAATTCATAGATGTGATATAACATATATTCTATGTTCTGGTGTATTAATGTCAAACATGATTCATATATTAAAATGTAAGGTTTTTTCAGTGTGTTGGCCATTTCTTACTGCCATGTTGTCCTAATTAATTTCTCAAACCTACAGAGCATATCATTATATGGTACCCACAACAAGGAGTATCCACAGAAACATATTATGATGTTTATGATAGGGCTGTGCAATTAATCGTATTTTAATCGCGATTACGATTATGGCTTGCGACGATTATGAAAACAGCATAATTGACAAAATACGATTATTTTGCTGGGTGCGCTTTCGCCTCTCCCTAAAAGCCCACTCGGCCACGTGGGAGTGACATGTGTTGTGAGTGTTCATGTTCAGCGAGAGCGAAGATGTCAGAACAAGAGCAGCAACTCGTTAAAAAGAAGGGTAAAACTATTTCCACTATTTGCAAGTACTTTGCCATTACATTTCACATCGCTAAAGATATGTCCACTGTTAGCAACCAGGGCTTTAAGCAACTTGTCAACACGTTGGACAAGCGTTACGCGATGCCGTCTCGGTATTATTTCAGCAGGTCTGCGCTGCCTGCACTATATGACAAATGCTGTGGGGAAGTTGAGAGAGATGTGGCTTCAGCTGACTACTTTGCTACCACAACAGACCTATGGTCTAGCCCAGGGGTGCCCAACCAGTCGATCACGAGATGTGTCTACAAATAGAACAACAATATTCTGTTGTATCGTTAATGTCCTGTAACATAATCTTCCTGTGCCAAAATAATGCACTTGAACGCATCAAAGCTTTGTGATTGGCCGGCGTCACATGTGTCGGAGCGTGGCTGAGGGTCTTCAGTACAGGTGGCAATATCGTCACCTGCCTGCGCTCATCTCTGAAACCAGACCATGTAAACAGGCTTTTGTTTCTTGCAAAAAATCTTTAAGAGATGACATGAGCAGCCCTACCAGCATTTGCCATGGTGGCCTACATTTTTTTTATTTGGTCTTAAATTGTAGTTCAACATTTATTTCCTGTTACTTCTGGACCATGACGGTTGGCCAGCCTTCAACGTTTAACTGAGTGGAATATGTTAAATATGTTTTACCAAAATGTTGGCTATATGTTAAGGAGTTTTCAGTAGGTTGTGACAGTGCACTGCATCATGTTTGATTTAATTTATTTTGGTCCAATTTATTTTTATTTATCATATTAATAATATATGTTTAGTATGGTTTTGGAAGTGCGGTCCAACATATTTGTTGATCTTGTTTATTGGTAAAATATTATTTGTTTTAAAGATCAATAAATGGTCAATGAATAATCGTCAAAATAATCGTGATATCAATTATTGACCCAAATAATCGTGATTATGATTTTTGCCATAATCGCACAGCCCTAGTTTATGATACATTATGATACAGCAACAATTAAAACCTTTCCTATGGCTGTGAATGTTGTATAGTTTAGGAATGTTTGGGAGTACACAGCCAATTTATCTGAATCTGTGCGAACAACTCTGTCCATTGGAAATGTACAATGTTTCAAATTTCCCTCGGAAAATCTCTCTCACTATATTTGTACTACTCTAAAGCTGCTAAAGTGGGAACTCTCTCACGTGATTGTTTACGTGCTTTAAGCCAACGAAAGGTTACTATTGGACAGTATTATAAGCTCTTTATATGAGTCAAGAGGGCTACTCACTTCCTAAATGTGAGGGGGCATGCACATTCAGAAACAGCTGGACAGGTCCACACACGCACTCTAAGCTCAACACACCCCCACACTTTCTTCCTCTGAGCATTTTACAGCCTAAAGAAACAGTCAGCAAGTCTCTGACCTCGTGAGGGCCGACGCTTTAAGGGCGACAACTGTGATAAGACCTGGTTCAGTGTTCAGTAACCTGCTCTAACTAATCCTGTGAAACCAACCTTGTCTTTGAAACAGCCGCTACAACAGTGTCATTGTAATTCATAGAAATTGAAAGTTTCTTTAAAAACGGCATATGAAATGATTTGCACATGCCTATTTCCACTTTCACTGTGGTGACCTTTGGCCGTCGATTCGGTCAGAGGACGGCAGCAGCCAAACTCCTTCATCCACCTCTCTTTCCACACAGTTTATGCAAATCTCTAAATCCTGGGCCGTTGTCTGCCCTGCTGACTCACAGGCCTGTTGCCGGGCTACAGATGGCCCTGCCAGCAGGACAGCCCTCACACATGGCATCTTGCATGTATGTGTGAGGGTGTGCTATGTGTGTGTGAGTTTATGTGTCATATTATGAAACTACTGTAGCCAACTAGCTGTGACTTATCTTGCTGGAATGACCAAGAGTCACATCCACTGCCCAAATGAATCAATCCCATGGAGGAAAGCCTGTACGTCCTATACAGAATCACTGGTTATTCTTAAGACAGTAAAACGTTGTCCTCAGCATTTCTCCTGGTCCTCTATATCTTTCTTCATATTTATACCAACAACACTGACAGTCAGTCTGAATGTTGTACATGGTGCCACTATGGAATGCCTTCACAAGCATTCTTTTGTGTTTCTGAATGCAGAATGCTTACGAGCACCCCCGCCCTCCCCCATCCTCACAGGACAACAGCTTTTTCATGCAACTTTTGCCTCCTCTCTTACTTAACCTAATGTTCTCTATAGAAGGGTAATACATATTTACACCCTCGTGTGTTATTCTGACTAATCCCTTCAGGTTATAAACTCCCTTCTTATGATTCTAGTCATTAGAATACATCCTGTCCATATCCTGTATGTCACATGAAGTCACGCCACTTCCCTTTATGAGAAAGTGTCATTTTGTGATGATACATCCTCTAGTTCTCTATGACAAATATAGCTTTAAACAAACTATACTGTTCAGTTTGTTCAAGTACTTCTCTGCCTATTCAACATTTCTCCTGAACTTTCCTGACTTGTAACACAAAGGCTCTTTTTTATGAATCTCCCCTTAAGGCAGTGGTTCTCAAACTTTTTCTTTGGAGAAAAAAAAAAGTCACAAATAGTCAGGCTCAGTGGCGGCGCCAGAGATTTCTTTTGGGGGTGCTGTGGGGTAGCTTGACGTTTCATAGAGGGTGCTCAAACATTTAGGGTTTCCCATTAATGTACCGAGCGCTCCAGAGGAATGTTCTACTGCAACACTCCCCACGCAAATACACAGTGTGACTGTTACAATGAAGGCTCGATAATCAGCTCACGGCATATAGGTGTAAGCAGGGGTCAAGTGTTATTTTATAGGTGGTGTGTGGACCTCACATAGGGGGGTCCGGGGGAAAGCTCGTCCGGGAAGATTTATTTTTAAATATTGAAGTTAAAAGCATCAATCTGGTGCACTTTGAGAGCAAAATGAAGAGATCTATGGATACATCAATCAACACCCATTTGAAACAGAACTGTAAACAGATTTACTATTTCTTTATGGATATTTTACAAATCACCCTTTTAAACGTTATTCTTGTTTTACTGTCATATAGTATTTCATACCTGTTTTTCATTTATTCTCTTATTTTTTTATAACTATAATGATCATATAAATGTGTGCCTCGGAAATAATTGTTTACATTAATGGTGACCAAAACATTTGAGACCCACTGAGATAACACTGAGAGAGTCCTTTAACTCACTGAGTCTCTCAGTCTGACAGGAGAGGACTCTCCTCCACGTTGTTGTTGAAAAAACTCCTTATATCCGTTAGCGTAGCTGGCTAGCACCAGAAGCTAACAACAACGATCTCCGGTACCGGTGCACTATCTCTCTTTCTCTCTCTCGCGCACACAAAATGGCTCGTTCCACACACACACACACACACACACACACACACACACACACACACACACACACACACACACACACACACACACACACACACACACACACACACACACACACACACACACACACACACACACACACACACACACACACACACACACACACACACACACACACACACACACACACACACACACACACACACACACACACACAGAGCCGAGCTTTAATGAAACACAGAGACCCAGACGTAATAGTACTGTACTGCATCATATTATTTTCGAATCAATAATTTGTTCAATTTTTATTAATTTTTTTAATCTTTTTTTTAAATTAATTTTTGTATAACCATTTTTCCTCCTGGTCTCTCGCGCCCCCCCCTGGCATGCTTCTGAGCCCCCCAGGGGGGGCGCGCCCCCCACTTTGAGAACCACTGCCTTAAGGGATGGTTTTGTGCTGGTTTGAACATGCATGTCAGCACTTTTCTTGTCTACTGAATGATGCTTCTTTTCAGAGTAGAAGTCCGCTGTAAATTAAAACCATCATCACGTGGAGCCACTGAATGAGAAAATCCCACCGGCCTGAGCGAGAAATGGCCCGAACAAAACATATGAAAAAGTCTGTGTGTGTTTCTGAGGGAAAAGGACAAGATGAGTGACGGGGGTGATGTCACCTTAGACCATTTAGACTTTCTATTTATTCACCAACAAAATCATTATTTACACGGTAAGACATATGGTTTTAAAATAGCATTTTAGTCTACATTCCATTTTGTGTATATTTGCTAACAGAAATGGATAAACCTCCGGAATGTCTAGTCATGCAGAAAGTTTCCGTTATATCTGGAGATGTTTAAAGATAACTGACTGTCTGCATGGCGAGATAACACTAGATAGGACGTTTTTTTTAAAAACACTACTTTTGTTATGCAGACTGACCCTTGATGTGCTACAGTACATGACAACTCTTACCACAGACCACGAGGATGAAGAGTAAGGTGGCCACTGCTGCTGTGATGTAGAACATAATGCTGATGTGGTGAGCCAGCTCGTCCATGTCGTCCACATTCGGCACCAGGATGGGAGGCACAAGGAACCCGATGGCAATACCCAGCTATAAGACAGTGCATAAAAGTCAACACACATTATTGTTTGCTTGGTAATATCAAACAACAGTTTTTCTTTCTTTTCTTTGCCATTGTTGCTACTTCATTTCTTTATCTCATACATACTTAATGGTACCACAACATGTGTATTTAGAGGTTACTTTTGCTTGTTTGACACCACTTAAAATGTATATTTCTGTTATTTGAATTATTGGTAAAAATATATATATATATATAATGGTAAATGTAAATTCATAACCTTAAGCCAATTGATCTTTAAGAGTAGATAGGGTCCGTATTATCAACGGTTAAACACTTTCTTTTGAGTTATCAATGCTGCTCATGTTTAAGGCAACTGAAACATACCCCTTCAAACTAGCAGAAAACAATATGAGACAACCATGATATTTTTTTAGTACCACCTAGTCTGGAAGGAACATTTATGTCGTCTAACTAATTCCGCCAAGAATATTGTTTTAACGTTACAAAAGCTAAGAAGACTGAGTACAATGTGGAGGTTTCAGCAAACAGTTAACTCAATTTTCTCTGGACTCTCGCACCAAGACACTAGAAGACCTATGTGTCACTGGAATGCAGTGCAGCTGCATTATCTATAGACAGCTGCCTCACTATGTGGTCTCTGACTTTAGATCATATATTCAGACAAACCTGGTTTCCCACGACTCCTATGGAACAAGCAGTGGAAACCTCTTTCTCTCCGAACCACACTGAGGCGAGGTAAGAGGGAATACCAAGGATGAACACAGTGCCTACCGAGCACATAAACTGGCCTAGAAATGTGAGTAGGAACATATTGGGACTGGCACTACCAATTTTTATCCAAGCACCAATGCAGTTAAAAGCTGACCCAATCAGGATGACATCCCGGATTCCCCTGTTTTTCAGGAGCCACAGGACGGGCAGAATGAGAGGAATGTAAGTGAGCAGGTAGATCATGCCCAACCAGTCAATGGCAAAAGAGTCAATGTTGTAGAAACGCATGAAAATGTTGCTTATAATGCCGTACTGAAGCCACATGAAGGCATTGCTGGCTGAGACGGCACTGAAGAGAAAAAGCATGATCCAGCGACGGTGATACAGTTTAATCTCAGTCTTTGGGACCAGCTCTGCGCGTTCAATCTGTGAAGCCTGGATGTCTAACCGTGACCCACTGGAGATGGCTCTGCCCAAAGGTCCTGGATTCCACTGCGAAGTAGCGAGGCCCAAAGCGCTGTCTATTCCAGCCTTGGAACACGGCCATTCTTCAAGACCGAGTTCAGAATTTGCATGGTTGTCTTTCGAAGTAATGTTTTGTGGCATTTTAAATGTCTCAAAGTGGGCCCCTGGAGCGTGAGAGGTATTCAGGCTTCGGAGCTTCTGTGCTAACAGCTTGCTGTCCAGTGTGCAAACTGGCTGTAGTAGAAAGATGGCGTCCTCAAATAGTCCAGAGAGCAGTGTTGGGCAAGTTACTTCCAAAATGTAATACATTACATATTGTAAGTAATAAGTTAAACACCAGGTTTACTAATCTACCGGCACAATTTTTGATGTTAACGATGTTAGTGAATTCTAAAAAAAAAAAACACCATTTCATTTCGGGTTAAAATGAGTTGTAACTGCGCTACTGAGAATTGTAACGGGTAGTATATTACTCAAATGTAATTAGTAATGCGTTACATTACTTTGTTAAAGCAAAAAGTAATACATTACTGTAACTCCGTTACTTTTGTAACGCGTTACACCCAACACTGCCAGAGAGTGACCCTACAGGGACTATTGTCTTTACTAGTGTCCTGATTTTCCACTCAATGCATTGAGCCTCTATACCACATGCCTGCATTTTTATTACCATTAGGTCATGTGATGTTAGTATAGGAAATCTCCCAAATCTTCTTAAACCACTCCTCCTGCAGAACCTGTATTCTGTAAGGAGGAGTACAGGTTTTACTTTCCTTTATTTTACTCAGATGAAGAATTCAGAAGATTTATATATTTTGGTTTGTAGTCGTTGTTATTGATTACCTATGGATCCCTGTACTATTAAGCATAAGGCCAAGAAAACTATTTTCCTCCAATCATTTTGTTATACAATGGGGCACGATGCTGATCTTTTCACTTCTCTTTGGTTATTTGGCTGTTGATTTTAAAATGTTCCTGCTGCCACCAATTTCGACAAACAAAATACTAGTAGCACATAAAGTCAAATGAGCATCACGAGTGGGTTTTGTTTATGTGAGTTACAACCCAGTAAAAAGATTAAGAAAAATATTTCCATGGATATTGTCATACTGTACCGCAGTTTCAAAAGGTAATAAAGTGTTTTTCATTTTTAAAACAATGTCTTTCCGTATGTATTTGTATGTAAATAACTACTGTAATGCCCTTTTCAATTTACATGAATAATCTGCAGACTGTCCTGCACAAAGTCCAGGCATTGGTAAATCTATAGAGAGACTTTAAGTTCCTGCCATTGTTTCCTCACACAATATTTGAAGACATACTACTCATGCTGGTATTTTATGTCCCTTTTAGGTCCCTGCGTTTTCCAAGTCTCTTGTTATTCCTTTATCCAAGACCAACATTTGAGGAACAACTTTGCCAGACAACTAGGAAGCATCTGCATCTGCTTGTAGCTTCAAAACATACTTTTTTCAGGTTAGTTTAACTATAAATGGTTCCTTTCCTAAATGTAAACTATCACTTTGACAAAACAGATTTAGACAAAAGTGAAACCTTTTAATTTTAATTGTATATACACTCCTGGATTATCATTTGTATTGCATTAATGTTGCAGTTGGAAAAGGGAGATCTAATTTTAATAAAAATAAAGTTAAAAAAAGTAAAACGTCAAATAATAACCTCTAAAATGTAGTGGAGTAGAAGAAGGGAAATGCTCGGAGTATTATCTTAACACTGTAAATGTAAACAAAAAGGTACATAGTGGTTGTTTAATATGTATTTTCTTGCTTGCTGGTTCCCACTATTATTGTAATTTACTCTCAGCAAGAGATGTGGTGGCTTGAACATACAGTGGTTGCACTGTGGTTGCCAGAACGTGCGTAATTACGCAAACGTGCCCAAACAGATGTTGGGAATGTGTCCGCATGATCGGTACTTTGTGGAACAATAACACATTATTTAAATCAGTGATTAAGTAGGTGAAGAGCTAACTTGATATGCTAACTGACCAGGGGGCCAGCCTGTGTCGTCACAGCCTACCTGACTCCCGAAGACTCCGATGGAGCAGGCGGTGGACACTTCCTCTGAGCCGAACCACACTGAGGCGATCATGGACGGCATACCGAGGCTGAATACCTGCGCAAACGAGCAGCAGAACTGTCCCAGAAAGGTGACGGCAAACAGGTTGGGTTTGACGCTGGCCACTTTGATCCATGTGCCTGCACAGTTAAGCGCGGTGGCCACCAGCGCGATGACCCGGAGCCCCTTTTTGTCCAGCAGCCAGGTCACCGGGAAGATGAAGGGAATGTATGTCAGCATGTAGATCATGGACATCCAGTCTATGGTAAAGGCGTCCACGCTGTAGAACTTCATAAATATGTTGTTGATGATGCCGTACTGTATCCATTGGAAAGAGTTGCATAGTGAATATGAGCTGAACAGGAGGACGATCATCCAGCGTCGTTTGTACAGCCGGGTGGGCTGCACGGCTCCATGTCCGTCCAGCAGACCCGGGTCTTCGGCGTTCAGCACCGCGTCACCCCCCTCCAGTTTGACAAGGTCTGCCTTGGTCTCATCCTCGTTTTGTTCGGTGTTTCCTATCGCTTGTTTCTCAATCATATTAAACTAGTCTGCTAAATATGAAATCACTGAAAACTAAGTTGAAAGTGGCTGACTTCGCCCTGTTTCATGGGCGAACACCAAGCACAGACACTTTATAGTTTCACTTAAAAAAAAGTCATAGGTTTAAAATCTCCAAACTGGTCAATAATCGGATGGTGAAGGCTCTAGAACTCGAGTTTGAGCGGCATTTCCTCCCCCGGGATTGAAGTTAGTTCAGTAGTCGAGTTTACGCTTAATGACCTGTACACGTTCAATACATTAGTTACAGATACTTTCAATGAATGAATATTGTTCTTTCAGTAAGAGGTTTACCGTGTTGTCACACGTGTAGGAGCGCTTGCTGTGACCCTCTACCCGGACTTAAACCCTCCTCGGTCAACACAGACTCAAGGGCGGAGTTTAAAAACGACTAGTAGTGGTGCACCCTTTAACATTGAAATCTCACATACAGTTTGCAACGGTCATGTCAGCTACTTCGTCTGTGAAATCATGCCTGTCTGGGAGTTTGTAAAACATGCCCATTATGACACTTTTTAAAGGGCTTTTAAGTTTAAGAACACTATAGCTATTAAGTTTTAATGTAGTCCACTTGCCTTGTAACAATACTCATAAAAGGGGGAATAGTTTGAAACTCTTAGTTGTGTTCAAGGACAAAACGTAATTCCTAACCACACAGGGCAGGTTATAAACGGTACTTTTGTGCTGTATATCATGATCTACTGGTGAACACTGCCACCTAGAGAAACAACACATTTTGGTTTGGTCACGAGTTGTATTATTCTCAGCACCAGTGCAGACTTCACACACCCTGCTGTTTCAAATAAGAAAAACACTACAGTACATGAAGTCAATAAAAACAACCCTGTAGAGGTCAGAATTGTTCACCTAAAAGGTATCACATTTAATAAATATATTTTGTTGGGTCTTCTCCCACATCAGCATTATCAGCAATACACATGTCGAGACCCTTAGAATGCCCATTCTTCATTACCAGACAATTTGTTTTGGTACATCAGAGCCTTTTTTTTAGGATCTCGACTTTACATTCTCTTTGTCCACAATCAAATCTGTCAAAATCTCCTGAGCATTAACAATCTACATTTACACACATTATAAAAACACGAGAAACTCAAAACATGACAGGATGACACAAAACATTTACAAAAATACTGTGTCTTCTGAGTCACCTGAGTACAGTAGGAACTCCCAATGTAAACATATACTGGTTGATAATTCTACACATCGAGCCGTTTCAGTTAACACACAGATCACCGATATTTATCAGGTTTAAGCAAAGAGATGAGCACAAGCAAAATAAATATTTTTTAAAACGGCTTGTTACAGTTTGGGATCCGCACTGTCATTGTTTGTCCGACATAAATATGGCCTGCCATGTTAATGTTCATGTTTTGAACAATGAATAACACTTAAAGACACTTCTCCAGTCAGTCTCTCTCTCCATTGAGGTCAGTCTTCTGTTGGCAGCACGTCCTCCGTCGGGTCAGTGCTGGTAGTGTGGTACAGTGATGTGCTGGTGGTGGTAGCTGCTGTGGTGAGGAGGAGAGTAGAGGAGCTCGGGGGTCTGAGGGGCCAGGCCGGTGCACAGGGGCTCATGGCTGCTCAGCACTGAGGACAGATACTTGGCCTCCTCCGTCAGCTGCTTCACCTCCTTCTTCAGGGCGGCGTTCTCCTTCTGCAGGTTCTCACTCTCCTGTAAACACACAGGTACAGTATGTTTGAGGAGAAATAATTATAACGGATATATGTGGTTTTAATAAGTGGTTTGAACAAGTCAGATAGGATGACCTAAAAGCATCATCTGCTGCATTACTTCCTGTTTCAACAGAATTATTTCTGTCTGTTTTGGCTTTAACCACACATTAAAGTATATTTTACCTAGATAAGCAAATTTGAACCTAATAAACACAATGCCAGGTAAGTATTAGCATCTTAGCATAGCCAATGTAAGCATGTAAGCAGGCTGGCTTTTGGCCTTAACCAAATGTCGGCCTCACAGAGTGGCTAGCATGCCTGTGGTTGCGATCCCCTTGTTACTGCAGTATAACTCGTAAAAAACTGTAAACCTAGACATTATGTGTACTGTTTTTTTTCAAGTGAAAGAATATTGTTTGTTTGTCCTAGTGAAGAAAAGTTATTGTAGGGAAAATGTATTTTAAAAATGTGTAACTCTTAAGGTAAAGTTGGCAGTAATGTAGGCTAAAATGTCATTTTAAATTGTCTGAGACATGCCCAAACAATGGCATACATTACATATTGTACTTTAAAGTAATACAAGTATTTTCATAGTGGGAGAAAAACAAAATGTTATCCTGTTTAACCTTTTTGTTTTTATATACTTCAATGAATGAAAACCAAATCTACAGCAGGCCTTAGCTTCTTTACCGTAAAGTATTAAAAGAAAGTTGTAAAAGTGGATTGACCTTCAAAAACGTATGAATACCTATTAATTCAAACACTTTGTTGACTGTCTGCCGCTCACTAAGCACCACCATCTTATCTCAGTCTGAAATGTGTATTACCAAAACAAGCTTTCTGTCTGATCATCATCTTCAAAGAGCAAATAAGTAGATCAAACCATACGCGAGCAATTGAAAAAAACCACATTTTGTGCGTGGGAATAGCAGGGGAGAAAATCTTCCACTTGGTAAATCAAAAGGTCATCACACCATGGCCGAAAGATGATAATACCGAGCTGTGGGTCCTTACGGTCACAGCACCTTTGGGCAAACCCCTGTTCTTTCGTCACTTAGCCAAATACAGCCCACTGCTATCAACGCTTTACAAGAAGTGACTGCCTTTTTCTCCCCTCCTGCCCACGACACGAGATTTACACAGAAGAAAAAAATACTACTGAAGAAACAGGAAATAAGCCACGGTGTCATAGAGAGGGAAAATGTGTCTTCCTGTTTACCAGTGAGACGATGAGAGAGAAACCACAGAATATACTCTGTGGTCCCCCTGTGTTCTCTCTGTGACACACTTTAAAGAGATTGATGATATTCTTCAGGGGAAGGTTTCTCATACATTTACATCTCTGGATCTCCTACTGCCTACAGTTTTGGGTTTTCTGAAGGTTAAAAGCTTTCTGATGAAGTTCACATAAAAAGTTGCTTCTAAAACATCATGGTTACCGAGCACAGTACAGCACAAATGACCTTGACTTGAACGAGGAAGTCACACAGATAGTGGATATGGGGTAAGCATGGTGAAATGTGTGCAGTTGTAAGATGTGATAACATAACACGTAGGTCATAAAAGATCCATGAGATAGTTGCATCATTAGTGGAGGAGTAATATGTGTCACACAAGTATCTGAAGATTGAAATCTAGATGAGAAATAAGTCTTTTGGACGTTTTAGTTGAACAAAACACTAAACCCCATACATTCTGCCAGAAATCGTGCCATTAACAGCTGACACTAACTACCAAGAACCACACACAATGAGCTTCATCAAAGGATAATGGGGGCAACAAACAAAGCACACCCTTCTGTCATCTTATTCAGCGCTGTAATGTGATCGCTGCTGCCTGATTCTGTCAGTGATTGCCCACACGTGCTAATTTATTCCTTAAGCTTCTTCAAACACACAGTACAGTGTCCAAGTGTGCAGCCCAACAGAAGCCATGACACATCGCCACATGGTCAGGTAGCGATTCGTAAATATAGTACAAGCGCTGTTGGAAGAGCCCTCATGCTGCACAAACATAAAATATTTCTGAAGGATACCCTAACTGAAGCTGTATCTGCTAAATATCGTTCACGGTGTTTCATCTATTAATCTAGCTACTACAATATGATGGCTTTTGGGCTAGAAAGTAACCTTATGTATCCATCTTTGCTGTGTAGAACTTTATCAAGATTCAGTCAATTGACAGTAACACCATGTGCTGTCTTCTCAGTTTATTTTTGTGTCTCTGACAAATGTCTTTAGAAGTAGGAGTCAGTGCTAAATTGCGTTGTTTCAGAGTGTTGAGTATGAAGCATCTCCTCACCAAGTGCAGGTTGTCAGCTTTCTGAGTTTGCCTCATCCTGCTCTTCTGAGCAGCGATCCGGTTCTTCTCTCTCCGCATCACTTTCTTCACATCATCTGAAGAACTCTGACCAAATACAAAATGTGAATGTGTTAATGTGTGGGCAACAGCATAAAGTTGAGAAAGTGAAGACGTGCAGGACTCTCGCAGGAAATGTCGTCAGTTTTAAATGACAGTTTGACAGAAGATGGGCTAGACTTTACACCTAAAGTGAAGGGCAGGGTCGGGGAGTGGCTGAGTCTTCGGTTGAGTATAACACACACCCTGTTTCGTATCCCTAACACTCGATTTTCTTAGTATCGTAATAACTAATCAATTTCAAAACGCTGAGTCA